ATAAGGGTTTTGTGAAATCTTCTAAGATGTTAATCGGTAAAAGGATTGGCGTTGGTTGGATGTATTTACCAAAATAGGCCAATCCTTTTTTTGAAATACCCGCATAGAAATAGGCTACTGACGTAAGTAAAGCTAATGCAACAGTAGTATTTATATCATTTGTGGGTGCAGCTAACTCTCCATGAGGTAACTTTATAATTTTCCAAGGCAAAAGTGCCCCTGACCAATTCGAAACAAAAATAAATAGAAACAGAGTTCCAATAAACGGAACCCATGGACCATATTCTTCTCCAATCTGAGTTTTGCTCACGTCTCGAATGAATTCAAGGACATATTCAAAGAAATTCTGACTAGACATGGGAATAGTTTGTGGATTTCTAACAACTAGAATGGTTGAAATTAATAAGATAGCAATTACAACCCAAGAGGTAATAAGTACTTGAGCATGCACTTGAAAATCCCCTATTTGCCAATAGAAATGTTGACCTACTTCCACAACAGATATATCATAGAATCTGTTTAATGTGTTGATGTAACATAATAGAACATTCATATTGCCCTCTAAAATAAAAAAAGATAACTTGAAAGGGAATTATTTTGATTCAACCATTTCCTTATTTTACTTGGATTTTCCATTTGGAATACCTACTAATCCAAAAATATTTCTTTTTACACAATTTTGTAATGCTATAATAACCAATTCCAAAAATTTATCACCGCCCAACCAAATCTAAAAATGAATTTATCTTATTATTAATCAATAATTTTGTATCTAGCTAGAACGACCCTCACAAATTGCAAAAACTAATTTGTTAAGAATGAATCTGATGGAAGCCATAGTATCACCATTAGCCGGAATCGGCAAATCCGCAAGATTGGGGTCACAATTTGTATCGATTACACAAATCGTTGGAATTCCCAAAGTGATACATTCTTGAAGAGCCTTATATTCTTCTTCCTGATCAAGGATTATTACAATATCAGGTAACCCTGTCATATATTTTATACCGCCTAAATATGTTTCCAAATGAGATAATTGCCTCTTCAACATAGCGGCATCTCTTTTTGGAAGAGAGTTCAGTTTCCCCGTCTTTTGCTCCGTTCTCAAGTCCATGAACTTACAAAGTCTCGTTTCTGTAGTATACCAATTCGTTAACATACCTCCGAGCCATTTTTTATTAACATAATGACATTGAGCTCTTATTGCAGCCCGTCTTACTGAATAGGCAACTTTTCTTTTGGTACCAACAATTAAAAATTGTTTTCCTTCGCTTGCTGCATCAAAAGCCAAATCACAAGCTTCTGATAAAAAACGAGCAGTTTTAGTAAGATTTGTAATATGATTACCTTTACGTTTTTCCGATATAAAAGGTGCCATTCGAGGATTCCATTTCCTAGTCTCATGGCCAAAATGAACCCCAGCTTTCAGCATCTCTTCCAAAGTTATGTTCCAATATCTTTTTGTCATTTATCCCCACACTTTGTTTAAAAAAATGAAGAAAAAAAAAAGAGAGACCGAGTATCCTAATAAATAATTGTTCCGATGGAAGCTTCTCTTTTATAGACGATCGGCCGTTAATATAGAATCAGGCCATTTTTGATTTCTATTTCTTATTATTTTTTAATATACTTTAATTACCAAATCCAATGACTGCATTTAAATATTTCAGGGGATGGATGAGTCGAATCCGCTATTAGGAAGCATTTAATACTATATTTAATCCTATATTTCGAATGTATCACATAAATTCTCTGAAATGAGAAAAATTAAATAATTTTCTGTGATGGAACAAAAGATTTCTAATTTCGACTTCGAATAATATTTTTTTCCGGCTAATCTTGTTATGTTGCCTTGACCGTGAGCGGTGCATTATTCTTTTGAATCCGGTACCAACGGGTATCATTCCCCCTAAAACAACATTCTCTTTAAGACCTTTCAACCAATCAATACGACCTCGAAGAGCGGCTTTTGCTAAAACTCTAGCAGTTTCTTGAAAACTCGCTTCGGATATGAAACTTTGAGTATTCAGAGATGTTTTTGTTACCCCCAATAATAAAGCTCGGTAACAAATGGCTTCTTCCAAGGCACGCCCCGTTCGTTCTGCTCGCAATAATCCAATTAGTTCGCCAGGTAAAAATACATTAGACATTCCATCTTCTGAAACCAAGACTTTGGATGTTATTTGACGTCATATATATATATATATATATATATATATATATATATATATATATATATATATATATATATATATATATATATATATATATATATATATATATATATATATATATATATATATATATATATATATATATATATATATATATATATATATATATATATATATATATATATATATATATATATATATATATATATATATATATATATATATATATATATATATATATATATATATAAAACAAGGTCGTATGTAAGCATTTGCTTATAAGTATATAATATATTATTTTAAATTTATTTAAGAATGTAATTTTATATACACCGTCTTTTAGATTTAAGATAAAATTGTAAATTTATTTTGACAACTATAAACTTATTTTATGATAATATATGAATAATTAAACATAAAATTATATATATATATATATATATATATATATATATATATATATATATATATATATATATATATATATATATATATATATATATATATATATATATATATATATATATATATATATATATATATATATATATATATATATATATATATATATATATATATATATATATATATATATATAATAACCATCAGATTTAAAAAAGAAAGATTGAGATTAAAAGATATTTTTAATGATTTGTCTTTCCTATTAATGACATATGATTTAGTGAAAATCACTATTTAATCTCAACCTTTCCTTTTTAAATCTGATAGCTCTTATTCATTCTCTCATTTTCATATAACTTATCCGTTCTTACTAGATATGTCATATATATATATATATATATATATATATATATATATATATATATATATATATATATATATATATATATATATATATATATATATATATATATATATATATATATATATATATATATATATATATATATATATATATATATGTGTGTGTGTGTGTGTGTGAGAGAAATTCCAAAATATTAAGTTGATAAATAATAATGGTTAAATTAACAAAATAAATGGTCAACCGTTGCAACTGTCTAGAAAAGAATCAAAGACCCTATAATGATTGGGTGCATGGTCAAAAGGTGCAACCACCAGATTAGCACAAATTTTCATGAAAAAATTTGTTGTTATTGATATAAAATGGTTCGCAAATGGTCATGTTGGAATCAAATGAAATATTGTTTATGAAATATTGTTTCTCCATACCAATAGGTGGTGAAAGTTTTTTTATAAATAGATATATTTGTCAGCCATAAAAGATATATGAAAATAATATATTTTGGAAGAAAAATTTATATCTAAGCCATTTCTTTATTTTGTTTGTGCACGAGAATAAATGAAGAAACTTTATTAAGTAAAATATCATTAACCAATATGTTTAATGTGAAAGTGCGATTCATGTTAAGGTTTCCAAAGTATCTTGGATGAGATTCGCCGGTTGACCCTTTTGCATCCAATTTGCATAAATTGGTGGGGTGAATCGAACCTAAATCTTAGTGTAAACACATGCTTTTGAATTATTTTGTGCAACTTTTATCGTATCGTCTTCATCATCTTCTTTTTGTTCATGTTTTGCAGCAAATCCCCAACACAAGATCTAACAATCTTTAGGTTCGATTTTCAATTTTTATTCATACTTTATTTATAATTAGTATTAAAGTATGCAATTTTAAAGAAGATGGTAACAACTTTCAATGACGGTGAAAAGCAAACAGTTAATTCATATAATTTTTAAAATTATGGAATTTTGATTTATGAATATTTTTGTTTATGGTTAATTTGTGATTACAACAGAGAAATGAACATTTATACTTTCTTTTTCATTAATATGTTGAAAGATACATAATCATATTAAATAAATATGTCATTTATATGATGTTTTAAATTCTTGTAAAATATGTTGAATATAATATTTATTTATGTTAAATTTAACATGTGGAATAAATTTATATATGTATGATTTAAAAATTATTCAAGTATGTGAATTTGAATAGTTAAGAATATATATGTTTGATTTATGGTCTTTAATTAAATATAAAATACATGTTAAATATTATTTTTGGTGCGATTCATCGGTTTTTAAAGTATCCTGAAGGGGATTCACCGGTTAATTCTTATCTAATTTGTATAAATTGGTGGGAGCAAATCGAACTTATAGCTTAATTTAAACACAAGTTTTAAAATTATTTTGTGCAACTTTCATCATATTGTCTTCATCATCTTTTTATTTATGTTTTGCAACAAACTCCTAACACAAGATATATATATATATCAGTCACTAATAATAAATCTTTTGAAAAAATTGAACCAATCAAACCCACTCAAAATGCATTAATTTGTTTTAGTTTAGTTGAGTTTTAGTTTCAAAAATCAACAAAATCAAACTGAATCACATTTTCTCTCTCTTATAGAATGCTTTTAGCGCAAAAAGTGCAGCCAAAGATAGTGGGAATTTATTACTAATTTAATTTGAAAATATGATAACTAAGAAATGCGAGATTCTCTTATCATAAGAGTCTTGTTCACTGTGCATATGTCACAAACCTATGACTCCTTTAAGGCTAATGACTATTGAGCTGATTTGGTGTTGCACGCCAAGACCAAACACTCCTTGTTGCTAATGTGTTTACTTGTCTCTTGATCACCTTACACCACTCACATTCACATCTTGGCTTGTTATATTCTCTCATCATCACTACTTTAACCTTTCATTGTGGTTATCAAGTCCCCCACATCACTAACAAAACTATCATTTTGTTTCCACATGAAAACCACTTTCTCACATTGATTTAAACTCAAGTTTTCTTCTTCTATTCTATACGGAAAATCCAATCTTCCAATATGGAGATGAAGAAGAGTGAATGTGAGAGAAAAACCAAAGAACAAGAGTTCAATGAAGATAGCATACAAAGTATAATATTCACATTAGGTACTTTTCTTCTAATGCTTTGTCTAAAGGGTTTCTTAGTTGAAAAATGGCGTTCTTATATGTTTATTATTCTCAATGTGATTCTATTAGCCATTCTTTACATGTCTATGAAGCCAAATTATTGGAGTAGTAGAAATTTAGAAAATGAAAGCAATGTTGAAGAAGTGAAAAATGATGACAAAGAGAAGAAAGGGGCATGTGAATTTTCTCAAGAAATTGAAGAAGAAAAAGAATGTTACAAAAAACAGTGTTGGAATAGTACTAGTAGTTTTCATCATGTTGATGTTGAGAATGAGATTGATGATGAAGAGGAAGAGGATGAACATGTGGAAGTGTTGTCTAAAGAAGAATTGAATGAAAGAGTTGAAGCATTCATAGCTATGTTTAGGAAACATTTGATTTCAGATGATAAACAAAGTGACAATTTTAGACACCAAAAAACATCAAATTTGGCAACAAAGATTCAAGTTTCTTGTTGTTGAGATTTAGGTTCAAAAGAGAAAGCTAGATTTTTTGTTTTGATTGTTATTTAGTATTTTGGTCTAAATGATTAAGGATGTTTTCTCGGTACGTACTACATTGTTTGGATACATATAATTGGTAGACAAATTGTTTACATTATATAAAGTCCACATTAAATTTATGCTTTTATACTGTATTTTTATATCAATATGTTGTAAAAATGCACCGCATAATGTAAGAGTTAAAGAAAAACACAACTTAATTGTTGCGAAATGCAATAACTTATCGAATGTTTTGAAATGTACATGAAATAATTTTGTTATATTTTTCTTACTTATTTTATATTAAGGATAACGTAGTCATATCATATATAATATATAAATGTGACACACACTCGTGTGTGTATATATATTACCCCATATTTTAACTTGACATTCTCTCAAATTCAATAATAGATTTATATAGGATGATTTGTTATATTTTACATGTAAATTATCATTTAAAAAATGAAAACGTCGTTAATTTTAAGTTTAAAATATGAGAGGGGGACCAAAAATATTTAAATTTAAAATAAAAGAACCAATTTTGTGAGTCAAATAAAATAGGGGGACCAAAATTGTAATCAAACATAAAATATTTGATATAAATAAAAAAATCAATAGTGTAGGTAAAAAGTTCGATATGCATTTATACCCGTTTTTTTAATAAATCAGGTATGTGAAAAAATTTACCCTTTTTTTAGAAAACACCTTGTTGTATCAGACTTTTTGCAAAGCTTTGAAATATTTGGCAGTGTAAAATCATCATTTTTTAAAAAAAAATTCCCTGCATTTACCATATTTTTAGTGGGGCAACAAAAATCCGGTAGTGCATTTACCTTATATAAATAGAGATCATTTGTTGTTAAAAATAAAAAGAACATCTTAAAATGCATCACTATTCATTTATGACATGTGTGTACTTCAACAGGGTAAAAACGACTATTGAGTTTGGACTTCCGAAGGACATTACATGTCTTGCTCTTCAGAGATTCAAATTGAATAATATGTTGTCCAACACCGAGAATAGAAAAGTGAGTAAGATCGAATTTCGTGCACCATAGATTGATATTGATGTAAAGATGAAATACAACCATATTGAACTCAAGGCTAATGAAGATTTGAAGGTTATGTGGAAAAAATATCACTGTAGGCTAACAAAGGTACCGATCGAGCTTGATGCGTCAATTTTTTGATATGTCGACTACATATTCAAGATGTTGAAACGTCTAAAATCATCTAGTGGTGTATAAGTTTTTGTTATTTATTATTGTTAAGTTATGTAATTGTCGGTGTTAAGATATCTTAATTGTAATGTGATAAGTTATGTTCATCTTGTAATAATGAAAGCGAAAAAATGTTATCTAATAAATTATACAGTATAAATGTCAGAGTAATAATACACATAATCAACAAATAATACTAAAATAATAATAATATTTATACAAGTCCCCCACGAGCTATGTGTGCTGCCTACAATGCCAAAGTATAAACCTCACCAACTGGGTTTACCAAACCCATAAGGTTATCCATAATGACTGCTATCATCTACAGACGCTGCTGGTAAGTCACATTAGGTGGAGGCGGTTGAGGCGGTGACACGTCATCAGAAGGTTCCCCAACATTGAAAGGTCCAATATCATCTCCATTCTCAATATGTGGGATGATGCGAGAGTGATACAGTAAGGTACCACTCTAAGTAACAATTCACACACTACACATAGAACTAAACCTCCACTGCATGATCTCTAATGACACATACATAATTGATAATGTTACCCATAAACCATCTATTAATACCCTCAGATGGAACAATGAAAGTTGGTCGTGGGATGTCTTGGACATACCCAAATTGGCGCAAACACTTCTCAGGTAAGTGTCTACCCTTTAAGGCCTCCCATCGCAAATAACTAGAAAAAAGGGAATGCTAATCAAACTCACAGTGCACTTTATGGTCTGTCTAGGGTGTCCGGATGATATTGTATATATTTAGCACATCAATCCTTTTCATGTACTCTAGAACACCGCCTGGGTGTGCATGCCTGGACTTCCATCTCCTAGTCTGTGTGAAGCTAGTAATGGTAGGAATAACCTGCCTCTTACAAATGAAGGAGAAATGCTCGTATATCCAACACTGCATAAGAACATAGACAAGTAAACAAATGTCATAAATTAGAAATAAATTAATAAAAAAATAATATTTTATACTTAAAATAAACTCATATAACTAGAAAGCTTCCTAGTCTCAAAGACAGTCTCCACTCTAAGTGAAGAATATAGAAAAATTAGTGTAACATGCCCTTATGCCTAGTTGACATGACGAATGTTACTAAAAAATCACATGTACTTCGCATTAATATATACATGAGACTTATCAGTTAAGATAATACATCCTATAAGATGTAGCATGTATACCTTAGCGGCTACCTTATACATAGACTGTTGCACTAGCATGACATACCTATGTTGGAGCAAAGATAGGCAAAAGGGAATAACCCTGTTAGCCTTAAACTCATCTAACACATGCGTCTCAGTAACCCCCAAGTAGGGGTGTGGGAATAGAATGGGCCGAATTAGGCTTTACCAAGCCTGAGCTTGACTTGCTAAAAAGTTTAAAGCCTAAGTGTCATACCCCAAATTTTGACCCCTTAGATCTTCATCATCATTTTAGGAGCATGTTCACATGTTTATCTAACCTTAACCCTTTTCAAGTGGTCTTTGTCAAGATGGGCTTTTAACACTTGAGTCCCACATTGACAATTCTTCACAAACTCAAATTTTAATAACTTGGGCCACCCCCAACCATTGGATCATGTTTTATTCTGATAACTTGAGGCATAGATGAAGAGAAAACCAGAAGAAAGAAGGAATTGATGGACTTGGCAACTTGGAGGCAAGTTGACAATATAATATTCATAAAATTAGAAAGAGAAACTTTTGCCACTTGCACTTGCAGCTGCAATTCCCTACTTGCCTAGCCACTCTAATCATCTCATGTCATTAATTTTCACTTGACTAATTCATTAGTTGAGGCAAGGCTTTGAAGCTTGCAGCTGTACCAAACCCCAAGCCAAGGGTTTCCTTTTCAAAACCCCTCCAAAATGCCAAGTTTACAAATCTGCCCTCACCTTGCATCCTCCTATAAATAAGGGCTCCCTTTATGTCATTGATACACCAGAGCAATCTCAAAAAACCATAGAAACACCAGCTCTCAATTCCTTCTCATTCCTTAAGAATCTCAAAATTTCAAAACTTTCATTTTTCACAAAAAAGTTGTCTTGAGCAAAACTCTGCTCAAGATCAGTTCTACCATCTCCAAGCCCCTCAAAACCATCTACACAATCTCTAAACATTGTGTAGAAGGTGTCCATACATTCAAACCACTCAAAAAGTTCATTTTTACAAAAGTCAACCTTCACACCTTAATAGTTTGACTTTCTTCCACTTTGAGAGCCAAATTCTCACTTGAACCACTTCCTACCATTCTAACACTCCTAACACCTCCTATACATCATATCTCAAGTGTATAAGCCATAAAAAACTAGCTGGAAATCACACAACTCCAACTGTCTTGAAAGTTGGTTTGTTGCTTCAAGAGGAAGCAAGCTTTATCTCTTTGCAAAGGAAGAAGGATCTCTGGGTTTCTAAGCTTTTTAACTTGCTCAAAGTTTGTCTACAAGAGGTAGGTGACATTCCAACTCCCTACTAATCATACATTATCATGTATTGTCATTTTGTGGTGATTTTTGTGAAAATATACCATGGCTTCCCCATTGTAATTCTTTGTCAAGAACTCTAGTTTCCATGATCATGATACTTGCTTTCATTAATATATTGTCATTTGTAAATGATATGTGGATTTTGTTTTACCAAGTTTTTACTTTGATGTCATGCTTAACTTGTTTGTGAGATTTTGACCATGTGGTAGTTTTAGGAGCCAATGTTGAAATATTGTGTTGGGCTGTTGTGCTTACCTTTTTGTATCTTAACTGTTCTAAGTCATTTGTTTAGTGCCTACATGATCCTACTTGCTTGTTTGTTTTGGTTGAAACTTGAAATTTAGGGCCTGTCTTGAGATATTGATAGTTTTGCTGTGAATTTTGGTTCAACATATCATTTTTTGGTTTGGAGCACTTTTGCTTGATTGTAAGATTGGAACTCATTGGTTTGCCTATTTTGAGGGTGTGTGTGGTGTCTATGTGCTCAAAAAACTTCTTAAGTGTTCAAACTGACTTGTCATTGCTTCACTTACATTTCAAACATCATTGATACCACCAATACATCACATTCTGTTTCAATCCATGTCTACTTGATTTATGTGCATTGAATCATTGTCCTATCTATTTGAAATTGGTGTGTGATATCATTTGCCTCAAACTGTCATGAAACATACTTGCTGCTATACGTCATTCACAAAAAACTGTTTCATATTCCAACAGCATATCAAAATTTAGCTCCAATTGTTATGAACTTGATTTCAGTGCATAATCACTTTCCTTGTCATATTTGTAATGTGTGTATGTTGTTATCTTGGCTGAAAACTCACTGCTTTAAAAAACCACCTGCTGTCACAACTGTCTTGCCAAGACAGATTTTTCAACTTTTCACCATAACATGCCATTTTTCATTTCAGCAATCCTATGTCTGTTTTGTGAGTTAAGACATATTCCTTGCCATGATAATGAGGTGTTTACTTGATTTATTTGGTCTATTCATGCCTGTTTTCACAATTCCTCAAATTCCACTTCCAATTGCATTTTTATGCTAGAATGTACCATGAACATACCAAATTCTTATTTGCTTGCCATATGCCTATGTTTGGAGTTATAACTCACCTATATGCTTGTTTCTAATGTGTGTTGATGGTTAGTTTGAACCATGACTGCTTGCTTTCTAATTTCACCATCTAATTGCATCTTTGAGCTAATTTCTACCATGACCATGCCAAAACCATGATTGCTTGCAATATGTTAAATTTCTGA